CACTGAGGCACTGGCCCTTGTGAAGTCGGAGCTGCAAAAGAGACACACCTGCACAGACCTGTGTGAGCTACTATCTTGGCTTGCAGATAACCCGGGACAGAGCACGGCGCACCATCACCCTGACTCAGTCACACATGGTGCACCAGGTCCTTCAGCGCTTTGGCTTCCGGTACTCCTCGCGACAGTCCACTCATCTGCCTACCGGTCACTCGCTCTCTGCTCCACCTTCGGACGAGTCCGTAGAGCCGAGTGGCCCGTATCCAGAGCTTGTGGGCTGCCTCATGTACCTGATGACTTGCACTCGACCTGATCTTGCCTACCCTCTTAGCATCATGGCACGCTACATTGCGCCCGGGAGACACCGACCAGAGCACTGGGAGGCCGCTAAGAGGGTGTTGCGCTTCTTGTGCAGTACGTCGGGCATGGGGCTCGTGCTTGGAGGACGGGGTCCAGTTGTCCTCACTGGACACGCAGACGCTTCTTGGGTTGACGACTTGGCTACGCAGCGGTCGTCACAGGGTTACGCTTTCAGGCTTGGCTCCGGCTCTGTTTCTTGGCGGTCTACCCGCTCGTCTTTTGTTCTCAGTTCCAGTTATGAGGCTGAGATCTACGCAGGGGCCATGGCTGCACAGGAGTTACGCTGGCTCACCTACCTGCTAACCGACCTGGGAGAGCGGCCTCGTTCTTCTCTTGTTCTGTACGTAGACAACAAGGCCATGATTGCCTTGTGTCAGGAGCACAGACTGGAGCACATAACGAAGCACATCGCTCTGCATTACTTCCTTGCTCGAGAGTTGCAGCAGCGTGGTCAGATTCGTCTTGCTTACGTGGCCACTAGGGCCATCACTGCTGATATATTCATCAACGCAATTCAGTCTGGTGATCATCAGCGTTTCTGTACTTTTTAAGGCCTTGTGCATATTTTGCCTCACTTGCTCACTGCGTTACTTGCTTATACTGTGATGTATATATATATCTGCATGCTTACTCTTGCTAGGGTATGATCACTGTACTGTTTGTTCTCTTTTATATAACTATGCATGTGAACTGGCCTTGTGGCCATTTGCTTGTGCTCGGAATGTGTGGTGACTTCGTGATCCTCCCTGAGCTTGCTTTTCTTTTCTTGACTGGTCTTGTGGCCCCTTGTTCTCCCCCACTGTGCCTATGGGGCAGGGCTGACGTTTCATTTTAAGCTTCCCTGATTCCGGGGAAAAATTTCCCCCTCTATTATGGGTGCACATTTTCCAGAAAAGAAGTACCCTGATTGCTCAGGGTTGTAAAGTAGTTAACACTGATTGTTCAGGGTCGAGAACTGAACATCAGAGTAGTAACGCGCGCTTTGTTACCGGGGAAAATATCCCCACTCTCCATAAAGTCTCGAAGTTTCGATCAGAAGTTTCGAAGAAACTTCGTCTCGATAAAGCGAGAAGGGGGGGGATTACGCACATGTGGGGGGAACACTGCGATCAATCCAAGGCGGGCTCATCGGAAGAAAACTTCCGAGAAACTTCCTTTCGATAAGTCGAGGAAAATATCCCCACTCTCCATAAAGTCTCGAAGTTTCGATCAGAAAGAAGTTTCGAAGAAACTTCGTCTCGATAAAGCGGGAAGGGGCGGGATTACGCACATGTGGGGGGATCACTGCGATCAATCCAAGGCGGGGTCATCGGAAGGAAACTTCTGAGAAACTTCCTCTCGATAAGTCAGGGTCCACACAGTCGATACTCTGTTAAGTCAGGGTCCACTAACAGCCTAGTCTGTTACACTGTACTCAAAATCAGGGATAGCTACACTAATACTCTGATTGGATCAGGGCTGGAAATTCAATAACTCTGAAATTTCAGTCTCCACGAAGTGGAAAGCCTGAAATCACCCTGAAATCAGGGTAATTACCCTGATAAAATCAGCCCTGCTATGGGGGTGTGTCAGAATGATTTAGTGCTTACATTGTGTAGGCTGTAGTGGGGTAGCCCATAAGGGGTACAACCCAATTACCGTCATCGCCCGGATATAAGACATATATGTCTTATCTCGTACACGGGCAAAAATGCTTGAGTTATCTTGTAAACGGGATGGTTTAGGGTGTCTTATAATTCTTATAAATGGAAAAAAAATTAAGTTGACTGTAACACTTGCAAAGTGTGTAGAAAACACCCAGGGACCAGATTCATTGAAACAGGCCGACCTCGGTGGTGATGCAGCAAAGCTGCCACCGCTGGCAAGATTCCTCTGTGCTGGCAGCATCTAATGATGCTGCCAGCGTTGTTTTGCTGCCAGCAGCGCATGGCAGCTTCCAGAACGCTGCTGGCAGCACGTTGGCAGCGTCAGGCTGTCCTCTACGAGGAGATGCCTCGTAGAGGAGCGGCTCGGCACCTGTGGATGGGGCACTCTGGCTGGGGGGGGTAGTCGGGCTTTCACTTCATTTGGTGCTCATGGAGGTTGAATTCTCACCTCAACCTTGCTCTCGGCAGGCTCTCTAACCATGCGCAGCAAGGTACCCCTAGGCAAGTCCTCACCTCGTCCTCACGTGCAGGTGAATAACTACGGGCGAATTAACTCGCCCGGCGATGACATCCGCGTAGCCATGGCGAAGAACGCGAGCAAGGCGGGAAGTCCTACCGCCGCCTCCGGTGCGAGCTGTGACGGGGAAGACGGAGACGAAGCACACGGCGACGACGCCGAGGAGGATTGGCCGGAGAACGGCCACGATGACAGCGCTTCGGGCGACGAATTTGGTACTGTCGACATCGAGGAGGACGAATGGTGGAATCAGCCGGTCGGGAGAGACGACGAGGTGGAAGAGTGGCGGGCTGGTGATTCCGACAACGACGGAGGTGAAGATGCTGGCGGTGACAACGCGGAGGCACAGGAAGCGGCGGTGGATGCGAATGAGGCTGCTGACGAGGCGGCGGCGGAACTCGAGACAGAGGCGCCTGCGGATGCGGACGCGGTGGCGGAGGCGAACAAGGTGGCTGCGGATGCCGTCTTATTTGAGGGTGAGGGCGACGACGACGACCCGTGGAGCCTTGGGACAGACGACGACGTTCCGCTACTGAAGCGGAGGCTGCGCCATCGCCTACAGTCCACGACGAAGCGCGCCCGCGTGGTGCTCTGTGACGACGACAGTCCCGGGGAGGAGCGTCGCCCCCTACTCACCGCTGCGGAGAAGGGAAAGGCAAAGGTCGTGGAAGCCCCTGCTAAGTCCCCTGCTAAGGCCCCTGCAAAGGCCCCTGCTCGTGGCCGCACAAGCAACAAGAAGCGCAAGGACGACGGAGACCCTGGATCCAGCAAGGGTGCGGCAAAGAAAAAGGCGAAGAAGGCGCCGAATCCTGACGACATCATCGTCAACGAGGCGTTGGGCAGCGACGATGAGTACGCGGCGGCGGAGGGCCCGATTCCCACGTTCCCTGAGAAGGAGGCGCCGAAGGACCCCACCCTCCATAATCACAACACCCGCCCACCTTCCCCTCGCAGCAAAGACACTACGAAGAAGCGCCGCGGCTGGACCGTGCGTGAGAAGGTTAAGTGGGCGCGCCGCTATCAGGAGCTCGGCTCCTTGAAGAAGACTAGCTTGGAGTCAACCGCGAGCGTCGCCTGCATCAGACGCTGGTGCGCGGAGGCGGCTGCGGGCATCTACAAGGGCGCGGCTAACTGCCGCAAGCGGATGCACGGGGGGGGCCGCCACGCACACTACCCCGACATGGAGGCAGCGTTGTACCGCTACATCTGCCTTCAGCGCGCTAACGGGGTGGCCATCTCGGTGAAGGACACCCAAACGTGGAGCCGCGAGTGGATGAAGAAGCATTACCCCGGCAAGAACTGGAACGCGAGCTCTCACTGGAGCCAGCGTTTCCGTGACCGCTGGAACCTGGTGATGCGGGTGAAGACGAAGGTCGGACAACGTCTGTCGGCAGGTGCGTGGATAAGGAGTTCGTGCCGCGCACGGCCCATTGTATGCATGTCTTACCTTGCTCGTTGTCTAACCGTCCCTCGCTTCTGTTCCTATCCCGTTTGCAGAGTGCGCGAAGGACTGCGAGTCCTTCTGGAAGTTCGTGCGCATCAACAGGGCGCGGCACAACATCGACCTGGCCCGTATCATCAACGCGGACCAGACGCCACTGTTCGTGGAGATGCCGGCCGAGAGGACGATCGAGCACCGTGGCGCGCGCTCGGTCCCAATCCGCACTGCAGGCTACCAGAAGACGCGCTTGTCGGTGATGCTCGCGTGCACTGCATCCGGGGAGAAGCTGCGGCCGTGGGTGTGGTTCAAGATGAAGAACGTCCCCAACTGTGAGATTCCGGACGGTAAGCGCCATGACTTCAACCTTGCCCCTGCCTCATGAGCGTGCCCCACTGTGCTGATGTCCGTCTGTCCCTTGTGTGCCTGGCAGGAATCGTGGTCCAAGCACAGGACAACGGGTGGATGGACGAGAGCGCTGTGCAGACCTGGCTGTCCAAGGAGGTGCTTCCCCATCTGAACCCCCAGCGCGGCAAGAGCGCGAGGCGTACGATGCTGGTGTTGGACTCCTACCGCGGCCACATCACCCAGACCATGCTTCAGTCGTACCGCACGCACAGCATCACCCCTGCAGTCATTCCAGCGGGTTGTACGAGCCATATTCAACCCCTGGACGTCTCCATCAACCGGTGCTTCAAGGCTGCCGTGCGAGCGCGCTACGCCAGGTGGTTCATGCGTGAAGGGATTCACCTGAAGACGAAGAAGGGTGAGTTGGCTGTTCATTTTAAATTCCTGCTCTGTTTCGTGTCCTTATCGTTAACATCTCGCTGCCGTGTCCTTTGTCCCACCCGCAGGGAACCTGCGGAGGCCTCCGCACCCCGTGGTGCTGCAGTGGATCGCGGAGGCTTGGGATCAAGTCCCCAGGCAGATCATCATCGACGCGTTCCGCCACTGTGGGATCTCCAGCAAGCTGGACGGAACGGAGAACCACCTGGTGATGTCTCACCTGCGCGCCAGGAGCACCACCGATGTCTCCGAGGACATGTCCCTCGGAGGGACCACAGGCGACAACACGCGCCTGCTTCGGAAGGCTCCAGAGGAGGAGGAGGAGGAGGAGGAGGAGGAGGAGGAGGAGGAGGAGGAGGAGGAGGAGGAGGAGGAGGAGGAGGAGGAGGAGGAGGCGATGCAGGCGGAGGGCGTGCGGGAGGTGGCCGTGGCAACTGGCCTGGAGGTGCTGTACCAGGAGACCCCCAACTACCGCGGAGCGGCGGCCGAGGCTGACCGCATGATCGAGCCAATGGAGACGGCTAGGCATGCCTGGCGAGTGCCAGACCTGGGCTTAGAGCCTGTTGCTAGTGCTGCAGAGGAGGCGGTTACTGAGGGGGGTTAGGTAGAAGTAGGGATTCATGAATGTATAGATGTACCCCCCTAAAGTAGTGTAGGCTCGTTTAGAAGACACCCCCTGTTTATAAGAAAACCCCTAAACCCCGGTTCTGATTATAAGACATATATGTCTTATCTCGTACACACAAATAGGTGTCGTATAAAAAGGCTTGCCTGTTTATAAGAGACACCCGTATAGTAGACAACCCCTGTCTACTATTCAACACTGTCTTATATCCGGGCGATGACGGTAGGGTTAGCACTTGTACCCAACATTCTGCTCAATCCAACTCATTCTCGTTTGTTAGTTTGACAGTTACCATAAGGTCCTTAGTTAATGACTTTGCGCTGGCAAGTTAAGCCTAGATATAGGTTGCTGTGTGAGACGACATCTCGAAGCGCTTTTCAGGAACTACAAACAAAAAAACAGAGAGGCTGCAATTGAAGGGAGTCTAAGGTATTTCGAGGGACAGAATACAGGTGTGAGGAAGAAGACTGGGTTGGTGGTGCGGTGTGCTGTGCTGACGTGGCGATCTTAGGGTTTGATCGTTTAGGGGCGGGTTGGGTGGATGTTTGGTTTGGGTGGGTCTGCTGACGTGTTGATACATCGGAGGGTGGGGATTGATTGACTGTTTCCAGAATTAGCAATGATTGGCTGAAATTATTTTTTCAGGATCCCACATCACACTTCAGAAGATACCAGCTTGCGTACATGCGTTGGGTTGGGTGGTCAAGGTTCAGGTTTGAGAGTAAACGAAAACTATGTATGCAGTTTTTCAACCTCTCTGGAATTAGTGGGTTCGTTTTGTTTCATTAAGTTTGTGATTACATTTCTTTTCCCTCGTCACTCTGCAAAGCCGCATGCAAACTTTCTCAACCGCGCGACACCGACTGACGCGAAAAGGTTGACGGAAAAACTACTTTGGGGTGACAATTTTGCGTCGGTGTGCCTCTTCGGAACTGGTGTACAGAATGTTGCGATTTTCGTGTGTTGTTTTTTCGCAACTCTTCGCAACTTTCCGCAAGGTTTACGCAGAAAAACCTTTGGAGGCCAATTCTCGCAACTTTCCTTTTTCGTGATGACTGAGCCTGCAGCGCTGCCAGAAATCGTCGACCATTCGGAAGACAACAGCGGAGGAGAAGCAGCAGCATGTGCGCCCGCGGCGCGAATGTGGCGGTGGGTGTGGTCGCGGCGCGACGTGCTGCTGATGAGCACGGCGTTCCTTTTCTTCTTCGTGGCGTTCAACGCGCTGCAGAACGTCGCGACGAGCATCCACGGCGCGAGCAACATCGGCGCGCTCTCCATGGGCGTGCTTTACGCCGTCATTGTCGTCACCGCGCCGCTCGCGCCCTTCCCCATCCGCTTCTGGCGAGCGCGCGCCGCGATTCTCGTGGCGCAGACGGGGTTCTGGGCTTTTATCGGTTCCAACGCGTTTACTATAGAGTGCGTGGTAGTTTATTGTCATACAAATGTGGATCATTCAATGTGCATCGATGAATTTGGGTCTTAGTTGGGACGGGATTACTAAATAATTGGCAGAAAGCCTATACGGAGGATGCTCTTGATGCCCCGTCGTTCCTTCCCTGACAACGGTCCATACAAGAGACTCATTCCGAACACGTTCTCATGCCCCTAGTACCCCGCGCCCCGTCCCGCCCCAATGCGTCTTCGTGGCCAGGTGGCTGCTTCTTCTCGCGTCGTGCTACCTCGGAGTCTGCTGGTCCGTCGTCTGGGTGGCTCAGGTGACGCTCTTCGTCTCTTTTCCCGTCTCTCAGATGAGTTTGCCTTGTAAAGTGTGTGTGTGTGTGTGCGCGCGCATGCTTGTGTGAGTGTGTGTGAGTGCGTGCGCGCGTGCGTGTGTATGTGTGTGTGTGTGTATGTGTGTGTGTGTGTGTGTGTGTGTGTGTGTGTGTGTGTGTGTGTGTGTGTGTGCTCTTTTCCTTTTCAGCTGCTCTCCTTCTTTCCTCATAAGCTTAGCACCTGAATGGCATTAATGAAAATCTTTCATAGTCTCCTACGTCTGCTTTCACAAGATCCCTCCTGGGGCCTTCAACCACTCATCCCCGCGACATGCCTCCTCGTTTTCGCTACGCAGGGAGTGTACCTCGTTGCTGCTGCGGGTGTCTACAGTAAACGTTACAACAAGCCTATGGATGTTGTGGTGACCGAATTTAGCGCCCTTTTTGGGGGAATATTCGCGTTTAATCAGATTATCGGGAACGCAATCACTTTCACCGTCTCGCAACTCTCCTATTCCCCCTCTTCCTCCTCCTCCTCCCTTCCTCCCACCACCGTCACCATACTCATTATAGTGCTTTGCATCTGCCTCGCTATAGGCTCAGTGCTCTCCTGGCTCCTCCGTGATCTCAAGCCAATAGAAGACTGCCACGTGGACGACGCTACCCTGAACTTCAAGCGCCCAGTCGCCGCGCTTGTTCCCTGTCCTTCGATTTCATCCACCAGGGCGCTTTCAATCTTCACCGTTGATTGGGAGGAGATGGAAGTGTTGGTGGAGGAGGAAGTGGAGGAAGATGAGGAGGAAGAGGGGGAGGAAGAGGGGGCGGAAGCGGGGGAGGAGGAAGGGAGGGAAGGGGGAGCGAGGGGTGGGAAGAAGGCGAAGCGGAACTTGCGAGCAATACTGTCGGGCGTGGATGAGGAGGGAGGGGAGGGAGGGGAGCGAGGGGAGGGAGAGGAGGAGCAGAGGGGAGAGCATGGGCAGGGTGAGAGGGGAGAGGTGGTTGGAGAGGGTGAGAGGGGGAGTGTGGGTGTAGGGGATGCAGGGATCCCTGACGACTCCTTCAGTGACGTTATACAATCTGCTCCTGCAGGCAATCCATCCCAACTGCACCGTACCTCTCAGCCATCCCGCTCCCTCCGCTCATTCCAAACCTCTTCCTGCGAGTCTACCTCCCGCCGGGCCACCATCCCAAGGCAAACACCCAGGCTCGGCCCGAACCTGGCTTCTGACCCTCGGAGCCTAACCAGATCATCCTCGAGCCTGACCATCAACTCCAGGTCCGGCCGAACCATAGCTTCGTTCCAAGCCCCGTCCCTCTCCCGAACCATATCCCGGTCCACTTCGACGAACTACTCGAGGCAGCGTACTTCGTCCTCTTCTGTGCCGACCGGGCGGCCAACTTTGACTCGGTCTGTGACGTTTAAACGGATGACGGTGACGGTGGGCGGGGGGAGCAAGGAGGGGGAGGGGAGGAACGCGTGGCAGCTGCTGTTTGATCGAAAGCTGCTGCTGCTGATTCCGCTGCTCTTCTACTCGGGACTGCAAGCGGCTTATATCAGGTATGATGATGCGTGCTGCTATACTGCAGGCCGCTAATATCAGGTGTAATGCATACACCTGCTGTTAACTGGACGGAATGGTGCATGCTGCCACACTGCATGCCGCTTATATCAGGTATGTTCCATCATTAGATTAGATCATACTCCTAGGCTTGAAGTGCAATAGAGTCGAAGAGGGGAACGAGAAGACAGGTATGTACAGGGGAAGTCAGGTAAACTCGAAAGTTCTAAACATGCAATGGACGGTGGAGAGGATTGGCAGGTGCAGTTCAGTCAGAAGCTATTTTTCAGGCGCCTTTTTGAGGCGATTTTTGAGGCGCCTGAAAGTTACTCTGAACACCAAATGGAGGATGGAGTACTGGACAGCTGACTACCGTTGCTGACTATTATGCTCCCATCCCTCCCATCCCTCCCTCCTCAGTGCTGACTTCACACGCTATGTGGTGCAGCCACTGCTGGGAGCGCAGTGGATGGGCGGAGCCATGATGGTCTTTGGAGTCGCCATTGCCGTTGTGAGTTGATATTGCAGTTGCTTTTGATATTATAATGATATTAACTATTATAACTGTTATTACTATAATTAACATTATTACGAATATTAGTATTACTATTAGTCTTACGATTACTCCTACTACTACTATTATTTAATATTATTATTGTTGTTGTGATTACTATTATTATTATTATTATTATTATTATTATTATTATTCTGTAAGCCTATGGCGCTACTTTGAGCTCCCTCTAGACCTTTTTTTGCAATCCGGTGGCACAGACAAAGTCTTAGGCCAAAACGTGCGTTCCATGCCTCGCAGCTCCCTTGTCCAAGGGGTTTGCTGTCTGTGAGTACTCTCGACTTCTCTCCTACTCATCCTGCTGCTCTGCTCTACATGCCTCTCCGTCCACTCCCCCCCACGCCCCCAGTGTTGTTTCATCGCAGTTCGCTTCGCCAAGGGGCTCTCATCGATTCGCCTCATGCTGCTGCTGGGTGCTGCCTCGCAGACAGCCGTTCTCATCCTCACATGGCTCTTTCAGGACAGGTGAGAGATCCTAGAGGTATGTGCCTTACAGATGGCTCACAGGAATCTTTGAGGGTACTAGTTCACTCTCAATTCCAGCCTTGCCCTTTTCTGTTTCCCCTTCCCCCCTATTCCGCCGTATCTCCTCCCCATCCCTCCTCCTCTCCAGAGCCATGTCCAAGCCAGCAGCATTCGCGCTGGTGTTCAGCTGTGCACTGCTGTGGGGAATCGGCGCCACCGCGTTTCAGTCCCAAATCACTGCGCTCCTGCCGTTGGTCTTCCCATCCGACGTGGTAAGATGCCTGCCATTGGTCGAGACCCACTGTTGCCACACATAACGTAGCCCACAGCATACCTCCTCCTCCCCTCTCTCTCACTCACACTCCTCTCATCCTCCTTCCATGCTCGCACCTCTCGCTTCCCCTTCCAACATCTATCACTCTCTTTCCTCTCCTCTTCCATATCTTCCTCCCACAATCTCCCCTCTGCACCGCATTGAACACTCCATGACCACACCGTGCGCGTGTTGGATCGCCTAGAGCAGTGCTGCCTGCTGCATCATAGACTTCCTCTCAGCCCCCACTCTCACTCAACCCCTCCCCCCCCCCCACAATCCCCCTTGAACCCTCATTTACTTCCTCTCACGCAGCGTACGTGCATTGAATCACTCAGAGCACTGCTGCCTGCTGTCTCCATCTGCTTCCTCGTGTGCCCTCTCTCTCAAACCCTTTTCCCCTTTCAACCTTCCCATTGCCGCGCCTTGACCCCGCACAGGACGCAGCATACGCGCATTGGATCTCGTGGAGCAGTGCGGCCTGCTCCGCCTACTTCCTCGCCAGCCCATACATCGCCACGCCCATCAAAAACTCCCTCCTCCTCGTCGTTTGAACCCTCTCCGTTATACTCGCTGCTGTCGCGGTCAAGATGAGACCCCCAGGACAGGCCAAACTATGTGAAGGGTTGTGAGGAAGCAGGAATACCGTCATACCCCGGATATAAGCGCCACCCGCGGATAAGCGCCTGGCGCTTTTAATTGGCGTGTGGCGCTTATATCCGGTGCTCGATTATAAGCGCATACCTAAAAGGCTTACGGATTATAACCGCATACCTATGCCTTACATTTTATAACCGCCACCCAGTTTTTTTTCATTTTTTTTTCATTTGAAGACTATAAGCTTTTACATAATTAGTATACTAAAACATCATGTTAGTTACTCTACAACTAGTTAATCTACTCCTACCTACGAGCCTCACACAGGCTTCACCATTTTCTACACTAGTTAATCTACCCTGCTCTAATCATCAGCTACAGTGGGGTCATCTGGGTCGGCCTCAGAGTCCGACTCAGGTTCCTCTACGTTGTTGCAGAAGAAACCGTGTGCTGCAATTTCATCATCCATGTCGACCACCTCGCCCTCGAGCTCGTCTCGCTTGTGTTGCAGGCAGAGCTTGTTCTGGGACCCATCCAGGGCGTTGCTGATGCCGCAAGTGAGGAACGCCCGTTGAATGAGCTCCTTGGGCACGGACTTCCAGGCCGCCGAGATCCACTTGAGCGTCAGCTCGACAGGAGGCTTCTTGATGTTGCCTGCCACGCAAATCCAGAAACCGGGTCAGCACGGGTTAAAGAAATAAAAACATAAACAGAAGAGCTGCACCTCTCACCTTTCTTCGTCAAGGCGTCGACCCCCTCACGCTCAAACCACTCCTGGTAGAGCTGGCGAACGGCGGCCTTGAAGGAGCGGTTAACTGCGACGTCGAGGGGTTGAATCTCCGAGGTGCAGCCAGCAGGGATAACCGCAGGGACCAGGTTCAGCTCGCCAAACTTCTTCTTCACCTCCGGGGTCAGGTGCCCGCGGTACGAATCGAGGACGAGCAGAGCTTTGCGGGGGCGGACTCCGAACTTGGGGTTGATGTACGGCTTCACCGCCCCGTCCAGCCACTCGATGACACCGTCCGCGTCCATCCACCCGTTGGGATGGACCCCCACGTGGATATCTGCACAGCAACAAAACCACGATGTTAGTTAAAATTTTTAACTGACATCGACATGCCACCGCGTAATCGACGTGTGGTGCATACCTGAAGGGAAATCTCCTTTGGGGACGGTCTTCCTTTTGAAGAAGACCCAAGGCTTCAACTTCTCCCCGCTGGCGGTGCAGGCGAGCATCACTGTAACCCGCTCTTTCTGGTAGCCGCCGCTGCGGACGGGCACGGAGCGCGAGCCAACCTCTTCAACGGTGCGTTCGGATGGCATCTCGAGCCAGAGGGGCGTCTGGTCCGCGTTTAGAATCCACGGCAGGTCGATCTTGTACTGCCGGCGGGAGTGACGCACGTACGTCCAGAAGTTCTTGACATCAGTCTCGCAGTCTGGGACACAAGATGGGAGGAACAGAAAGCACAAACACAGAGTGAGAGCCGTGAATAGGCGGGAACAGACAAACAACAGTACCACCAAATAACAACTCACTGGACGAGAGCTTCTGGCCGACCCGGGTCTTCGCTCTGGTCGTTAGGTTCCAGCGGCGGCGAAAGCGCTGAGTCCACCGCTGAGAGCCGGCCCACTTTTCACCTGGGTGTAACTCTTTCATCACCTCGTGCGACCACTTCTGCAGTCGTGCGATCGAGACAGCGAGGCACTTCTTGCGGTGGGCGAGAAACCTCCGGTACACCTCCGCTTCCATGTCGCGATACCACGAGCTCCTTCCGCGACCGTGCAGGCGACAGCGTGCACCGTGCGTGCCCTCAAGCTCACCCTTGCGGTTCTTCCACTCCGTGAGGCACCTTCGAGAGATGCCGGATTCGCGAGACATGCGCCGCACACTCATCTCTCCGGCTTCGAGCTTCAGAATCCATTGCAGCTTCTCATGCGAGGTGTAGGAATTGCGCCTGTGCTTTGTCGGCTTGTGCCTGGGGGAGGGAGGACGGGCATCACGATTATCGCGAGATGGGTGGGGCCTTTTTTTATTCGGAGGGGGAAAGGAGGGAATTGGAAGGTGCTCGGGGAGACCGTCAGTAGCCCAGAACTCCACGTCGTCGTCCGCACCGGTAGCGGATTCGTCCAACGGGCAATCAGCCGGCGCTCCCCATCGTGGCTCCGATGCGGAGGAAGATCCTTCGCCGCCGCTGCGTTCAGGCTCGGACAGGAAGGCGTCGAACGTCGAGTAGCCAGGGGGGAGGAGAAGCTGCAGAACCCCCTGTCGCGGAACACCAACAGCAGGCGGGACGGGAGGGGCCGGAGGAACGGGAGGAATAGGAGGCGCCGGGGGAGCGGGAGGGGTAGGAGGCGTAGGAGGCGTGGGAGGAACGGGATGCACTACTGGTTGTGGTGGAGGGACGGGCGCAGGGCGCGTCTGCCATTGAGAGTAGTCACGAGTGTCTCTGCGGGTATTTTCTCTAGCAGCAGGTTGGCGGCGGAACAAGAAATGCGTGCCTGGAAGGCCCGCCATGGCCACGGCAGGCCAAACGAACGAAGAAAACTGAACCAAAAGTTGGGAATGAGGGCCGTATGAAGCCCTCGCCCGAGACCCCTTCAGTTTCGTGGCCCGGCCTCCTCTGCGGGGAAAGTGTGGCCACAGTCAAGATTCCCCGCAGAGGAGCTGAAAGGGACAACTCTTTGCCTCGATGGCAGGGAATCTTGCTGTTGATGGGCACGTCGTGGCTGAACCACGACGTGCCCACGATCGCATGCAACCCTGATTGGGCCGCTGTGATGCGAAGTACGTGTGCCCTGACATGGGCCAGGTTCACGTTCGATGAACCTGGCCTGGCCAACAAGGCGTGGAAGGCGTGATGCCACGCCTTGTTGGCCGTTTCACGCGCAAAGCATGCACAGAGTCGATCGTTCTCGACTCAGGTGAATCCGCCTTTGAGAATGCTTCGATTTGGTATATTTAAAAACAAAATTCATTTTTGACATAACATAAACGCCGGCGCTTATAATTTTACTATATTATAAGCCCACCCCCTAAAAAAAACATGTTTTATTAGTGCCCCCCATGGTGGTATATCCGGGGTATGACGGTATGTGGAATTCGTTATGTTTCACAGAATCGAAAATTTCAATTAATTTCTCACAAAAAACCATCTGTCATTCAGCGTTGGGTGTTGGACGTTGCTGCCATCCTTGTTTTTAGTCGTCTCAAAAACTGTCGGTCAATCGGCTTAAGATTTTACGGGAGTTAGTGTGTGTATCCTCCTTGGCTTTCAAGCAAGTGTTGGAAGCTGGTATCCTCTCCTACAAACTAGTATCCTCTCCCTGGAATGACTGAATAGGATCGTGTACTTCGGATGGTAGCTTCCTGTTGCAGTGGAAGTCTTTGTATGAATTAAAGCCAGTGTAGGAGGCTTTGTCTAGGCTAATATGTAAAGCCCATGTAGTGACACGTTTCAGGATCAATGTCTCTGAAATCAGGTATATTATAAAATGACAAGCATACAGAATATATAGCTAGAGTAAAGTACCTATTCGCCTACTGTACTGTGCTATTCACGCTATTCCTGTTCTGAAACGGTACGTGACTATTTGCGAGGCCTACAGCTACTTGCTGACGTCATCCTAGGGCGCGTAGCGCTTTGCTGACGTCAGACTATCAGTACTTTACTATTACGTGCGAAGTCTCGCACTCTACTAATTGTACTACATGAATTCCTTGAAGTGCTTGAGTCTCGATATTATCTCAACACTCCCCTTCACTTCTAGGAGTTCGGTGTAGTTACCCAGTTGCCTCAGAAACGCCGCTGAGCTGGTTGCAGTGGTGAAATTTCTGTCGTGTCAGTTTCTTGGTAAGCGAGTCAGCTGCCATGTCACCAGTGGGACAGTAGACAAGGCGCATTCTCCCCTTGTCGATCGCATCCTTGACGAAGAAGTAACGGAGTGAGATATGTTTCGTGCGATTGACGAAGCCGGGCTTGTTGGCGATGGTAATTGCACTCTGGTTGTCGCACTGCAGCGTGAACTGATTCGGCGTGACGAATTTTGCTTCGTCGAGCAGTTCCTGTAAGTATAATCCTTCTCGGGTCGCAGCACATGCGGCAATAAACTCTGCCTCAGTCGAGGAAAGTGACACGAGTTCCTGTTTCGATGAATTCCACGAGATCGGGCCAACTGGCTCGAGACAGAAGACGTAGCCGGTTCGTGACCGACGATCTGACGTGTCACCGGCGTGGTCTGCGTCGACATATCCGCTGAGGTACATTTTGTCGGTTGGTTTTCCTGTGTTGAAGACCAGCCCGACTGTTGGTGTTGCGACGAAGTAATGTAGAGCACGCTGAAGATCGAGATGGTGTTCTTCTTTTGGGCAGCGTAGAAACTGTGCGAGATAACTTGCGACGTATGCAAGGTCGGGACGGCATGTGACTGCTGCGAAGAGTTGCTGCTGGTACAGTTGTAGGCCAGCTGCTGAAAGATTGGTGTTGTTTAGGACGTGCCCGGTGGGTGTAGATTGATAGGATGTAGCGACGTAATCTGTAGGAATTTTGAAGCGCTTAGCGAGTGACTCAGCATACTTCGATGCTGTGAGATGGATGGCGGAGGGAGTTCGCGAAACGTTTAACCCAAGAAATTGGGTTACTTCGGTGGAGATGGTTAAATCGAGAGATTTCTTCAAATCTGCTTCGATGCGATCACCCTATGAGCTGACCGACGACACGACGTAGAGGATGTCGTCCACGTATGCCACGAGCAGCGCATAACTCCCCTTGTCGTCTAGCCGATACATCCCGGGATCATGCGGCAGTTGTCTGAACCCAACTTCTATCAGTTTTCTGTTCAAATGCTGCTGCCACAGTCGCGGTGCTTGTTTGATACCGTACAGTGACTTCTTGAGCTTGCAGACACTTGGCGGGTTTGTCGGATAGGTGTGCGGAAATTCGACGTAGATTTCGGCATC